CCGTGTATCGGCTCTGCTCTGCTCTGCTCCACTCTCCTCTCCACTGGAAGATAACGACTTCCACGCTGCCTCAAGAGTATCACGTCCTTCTTCACAGACCGACTCTCCACTGCGCAGCGCCTCCAGCACTCCGGAACTCTGGGCACATCACCCTGACGGTAGTTTAAAGTTGAAAATAGCAGACAGTAGCAGAGTACTTGTGGAAGAGTATTTACAGTTTATTCACAGAGCTATATACATACATGCAGCTTTGTAGCAGTTCACAAGACTGACTGGCAAAGTGCTTCGCAAGGCATCCATATAACCACAGGGAATACTTGGACAAGGACTTCACTCAATATATACAACCATTGTCCAATCATAGTTCAGTACTGTACAACTGCTTAGTCATTCTGACTCCTGCAGATATGATGCAACTTTGATTATCATGTGACTGTCAACCTGTCACCTTAGATCACCAAGATCTACCAGTAGTACATGACATGCTGTCATCTTGCCTATATAGAGACATGTTAAAAAAAAGAGGGGAATATGTTTGTTTTGAAAATGGAAGAAGAAACAGCGTTTCAATATGGGTGGTTTGAATATAGACAAATAAATGAATTATTTAAAAAAGATTTTTAAAAAATTGGATTTAGGGAAAAAAATGAGATTGAGGTTGCATGGTTTGAAGCAGGGGGAAAGTATTTCAAAGATTTATAAAGTGTTGTTAAAATGGTACACTGAAGAAGAGATGGTTAAAGAGTAAATGATAAAGTGGGCGATAAACATGAATACAGAAATAACAACGGATTCTTGGGAGTATTTGTGGAAACATGCATTGAAAATATCAACATGTAATAACTTTAAAGAAAATTGTTATAAGATGATGTATAGGTGGTACATGACAAAAAAAAATTGCTAATATGAACATCAATATGTCGAATAAGTGTTGGAAATGCAAAAAAGGGGAGGGCTCTTTTTATCACATGTGGTGGACTTGCGAAAAAGCAAAAAACTTTTGGACTCAAATCCATTTGGAAATGGAAAATATTGTAAAATATACATTTAAAAAAGAGCCAGAACTTTTACTTTTGGGACTGAAAATGGAAGAAGTTAATGTGGCTAAAAGAACATTGATGTGGTATATGGTGACAACAGCTAGAGTAACTTATGCGCAAGGTTGGAAGCAGGAAGAAGTCCCGAAGATTGAGGACTGGATGAAGAAATTGCTGTTTGTAGTAGAAATGGATAAAATGACAAGAAACCTAAATAATGGAGAAGCAGAAGAATTTTACAATGACTGGAGAGATCTAAAAGAATATTTAGAAAAATACTGGGAAGTAAAAGATAATTTGTTTAGCTTTATTAATTATTAAATATGGACGTATTTGAAAGTTATAATATGTATAGAAATAATTGCTATAATGAAAAAAAGAGTTACCTAGGGAACTGAAGAAAGGAAATGGGGGAAAAAGTAAAATAGAAGTAGAGAAGCAGGAGGTCGGAGCACTGTGGGAAGCCGTATATATTAGAGGGAAAAGGGAGGGGGATAGGATGTAGCAGGGGTAAAGACAGAAATTTAATGTTGAATGTAAAGGGGATGAACACCGAAAATATTATGTTGAATGTGTATGTTTATATCCTGGAAAAAAATATTGGTACAAAAAAAGAGAATTTTTTATTTCCGATTCCACTATAATGGCCAAGGGCCCTCACTCACACAGCTGGGCTACCATAATACGTTCTCAGTTGGGCTGCCCTTGAAGACAACCCCGAGAACTGCAGCTGATCCAGAAGGCGGCAAGGCAGTTATTGTCAGGAGCCAGACAGGGAGAAAAATATCTGGCCTATTTGACAAGAGCTGCGTTGGCCGCCAGTTTGTTTCGGAGTCCAATTCAGGGTGCTGTTTATGACCCTCCAAGCTTTTCATAGCCCACCTACCTAAAGAAGGGTCTCCTCCTCCCAAATATCCCCTTGCACCTACTTATGCTCCTCAGCCTGCAACCTGCTGCCTGCTCTACCACTAAAGGCTGCCTGCCTGGCATCAACCACCGCCTGGGGCTTCTGCATTATAGCAAAAAAAACCAAAAAACCCTGCCACACCAAAAGGGGCTCCCAGAGGGGGTGAGGGGTGGGCCATGCCATCTTTAGGCATTTTCAGGAGATGCCACAAAAGCCATGTTTTCAGTTGTGATTTGTAAGCTACTTTGAGGCATGAGGGAAAGAAGGGATACATTTTAATAAATAAGGAATAAAAAAACTTTTGTAGATCCTTCTGTGCTGCAAATGCCACTAGGGACTTGCAGATGACCAAAGATCAGTGTCCCAAGTGGGGTGTGCCAGTTTATGCCACTGAAGATTTCCTGAGATGGAAACTCTCCGATCGATGAAGGCCCAAAGATCAATAGCATCTTAGTTTTTGAGAACAAGCACTCGGAGATTGACTCTGGAAAGCTCATTAAAAAATCTGGTTGATCTCTCGGGGGCTCCTGGGCTCGAAACCAGCTGCCCAGAGGCCAGAGGCAGGAAGCCGACACGTCCCGGCACTTGTCCTGAAGAGGGTTCCAGAAAGTCCCAACTGGTCTCCAGACTGCAGAAAACAAGGTCCCCCACACAAGAGAGACTGCCTGTGAACTGTGGGGCAGGCACCATTATGTCATTGGGGGGGGGGGTTTCCCTTCCTTGAATCCCACCCCCTCCGACAACCGTCATTCCCTGTTTACGTGCTGAGAAAGCAGAAAGGCCCAGCGGCTGAGGTGACTTAGCCATTGTGAACAAGGAGAACGTCTGATGCAGCGTAGCCATGGCTGTCCTGTGGGGAGACAACAGGATCTGGGGAAGCCAGGTTCAAAAAAAAAAACCTCACCCCACTCTCCCCATGGAAGTTTGCCGGGTGACCTTGGGCCAGCCACGGACTCTTGGCTTAGCCTACCTCACAGGGTTGTCGTGTGGATAAAAGGGAGGTGAGGAGAATGAGGGAAGGCAAAAGCGACCCAGCTGATACCGAAGCATTCTTTCTGGCAGGCTCTTTCGCGATACTGGAAGATGTTAACAGGCACCTGGTTTTTGTCCCTCTGAGAGGGAAGGAGATGGTCCACAAGAAGTTCCCTCTGCGCCCCTGTCCCCCCCCCCGAGGGACGTGGCACCAGCCGACCACCCCTCCGCTCAAGGTGGAAGGGCCTTCTGGGGCCCGCCCGCCTGCCCTGGGGGATGCTGCCTGGCTCTCTGGGGGGGGGGGCGGATTTCCAAGCACGGCCTCTTGGGTTTCACCACATCTGGCTAGCCCAAGCAGCTCCCTGCCCCGGGTGCCGCCTGCACAGCCCGGGTTCTTCCCCGTTTCACTTGGGAGCCTCCGTTTTCTCTCTGACAAGAGCCCTTCCTTGCGGGGGGATGGGAACCCTCACTCACAGGGGCCTCAGGAGCACCACTCTGTGCCCCCTTGGGGGGGTGCCTATTTCCCCCCCTGCCTCCCAGTTGCCCCACCTGCCCCTGCCGGAGCCCCGTTCCAGCTGCTCGCACGGCCCCCCTTCTGCCTTCTCTCTGCCGGGGCTCTGTTGCTGGCCCAGGGAGGGGACAGGAGAAATGACAAACACTGTCTACCAATGTATACAATTCGGCTCTGCTCCTGCAGAGTGCAGGGGGGGTCCGACTAGACGACCTGCAAGGTCCCTTCCCACTCTAACGTTCTATGATTCTATGAACAACTGTATGACAAAATAGGAATCTGTATATGCTAAAGAAAGAAAGAACAAATCGTATGTCTGATGGTAATTCCTAGAAGAGTAAACAGGACATCATAGTCATAGAAGGATGCAGTCACAATTGTGTAGATAACTATCAAAGGAACAGAGCCCCCTGAAAGAGTGATTAACACATGGAATTCACTGCCACAGGAAGTGGTGGCGGCTACAAGCATGAACGGCTTCAAGAGGGAACTGGATAAACATATTGAAAAGTACTCGAAACGTTGAGTGATTCAGCAAGAGTGATTCAGCAAGAGTACTTTATTAGATCAGGAACAAGACAAAGGAAACCAGCTCGCAGGCCGGTTTATATGCGTTCAGAAAACCCGCCACCAAGTACACCTAAACACACCCCCTACTCCCGATAGGCTATTTACAGTAACCGGGCGACCATTGGTCGCCTGGCTGGAAACTAGCCCTTTTGATTGGGCCAGCTAGGATGCTTCGAATCCTTTGTCTTTCGACTGAAGCTACAGAGGAATTGTGCCTGGCCAGCCCGGGCAAGTCCGGGCATGTCAGGCTGCTGCATTACACGTGGAGATGGCAGCAGTACATTACACCCCTCCCCCCATAGTCCCAACTGCCCCCATACAAAGTCCTGGTGGTATGCGGGGGCCTTCCTGGGCCTTGCGGAACGGCAGAGTTCCGGGGTACTGTTCGGGGCTGCCCTTTGTGGCCGTGGCGGGACGGTCGGCTGTGGCGTTTCCGGCGGCGGCAATGCCGGAGGTTCCGGGGGGCGGGGCCGGACCCGAGGCCGGGTTCGGCGGTTCTGGTGCGTGGGCCAATGCTTCCTCGAATCCCTGGGGCTCCAGGTCCTCGGGGTCGTTCGGGAGGACCCGGCGTCGCAGTTGGTCGATGTGGCGGTGGAGCAGTTGGCCGTCCTCGCAGGAGACCTCGTATGATCGAGGTCCTCGCACCCGAACTACTCGTGCGGGGACCCAGGGTGGCCCCTGTCCGTAGTTCTTGGCGTAGACTGGGTCCTCCGGAAAGAACCCCCTGGTGGCTTCGTACGATTCCGTTGTCGGTTCCACCTCAGGTGCCCTGTCTGGGTGTAGACGGTCCAGCTGGGAGGTTAGGCGATGACCCATCAGGAGTTCCGCCGGGCTGCGGCCGGTCTCGGTGTGCGGGGTCGTCCGTTGGCCGAACAGGAACACCGCCAGCTTGTAGTTCCAGTCCTTGCTGTCCAACTTGCTCAGTGTTTCCTTGGTGGTGCGCACCATGCGCTCCGCCTGGCCGTTGGTTGCTGGGTGGAAAGGCGCTGACCGGACATGGCGAATCCCGCAGTACCTCGTGAAGTCCTGGAACTCGCTGGAGGTGAATGCCATGCCGTTGTCGGTCACCAGGGTCCGGAAGGCCGTGTGAGCTGAAAATGTGGCACATTGCACTGATGGCCGCCTTTGAGGAGGTAGAGGGCACTGGGACCACTTCTAGCCACTTACTGTAAGCGTCCACAAGAATGAAAAACATCTGTCCCTGGAATGGCCCCGCAAAGTCCAAGTGTAGCCGGGACCAGGGCTAGTGGGAAGATTCCCAGGCCCGTTCCGGCGCCCGGGTCGGGTCGGGCCGGAAAGCCTGGCAGGGTTGACATTGCTTCACCAGTCTTTCAATGTCCTGATCGAGGCCGGGCCACCACACATAGCTCCGAGCCAGGGCTTTCATCCGCACCACGCCCGGGTGAGCCTCGTGCAATGCTGTGAGCACCCGCTCTCGGACAGGAAGAGGAATCACCACCCGGCCTCCCCACAACACACAACCCTTGTGAGTTGACAGTTCATCTTTCCGTGAGGCATAGCACGAGAAGTCGGGTCCTGGCGTGACCCCCGGCCACCCCCTTCTCACCCAGTCCAAGACGCGGCAGAGGATCGGATCCCTGGCGGTGCGACGTGCCATCTCACGCACATGGACCGGCTGGTCGGGCAGGGTCTCCAGCAGTGCGACCAGGTGAGCAGGGGCCAGGTCAGGCTCCGTCTCCGGCAGAGGGAGGCGGCTCAAGGCATCAGCATGTCCCATCGCTTTCCCGGGCCGGTGAAGAAGCGAGTAGTTGTATCCCGCCAGGAAGACGGACCACCGGATCACTCGAGGCGAAGTCATCTGTGGGGTCTGGCGGTCCGGGGCGAGCAGACCCAGGAGAGGCTTGTGGTCCGTAAGGACCGTGAAGGGCCGGCCGTAGAGGTAGTGGTGAATTTTTTTCACCCCGGCCATGATAGCAAGAGCCTCTTTGTCAATCTGCGCGTAATTGCGCTCAGCTGCAGACAAAGTCCGGGAGTAATAGGCCACTGGGACCTCCCGACCGTCAGGCAGCTTGTGCCCCAGGACCGCCCCGACCCCATATGGGGAGGCGTCGCAAGCCAGCACCACCGGCAGGTCCTCGTTGAAGTGAGCAAGTACCGAATTGGAGACGAGGAGGGCCTTGACCGCCTGGAACGCCGCCTGTTGAGCCGGGCCCCAGACCCACGGCGCACCCTTGTCGAGGAGCCGGTGGAGAGGTTCCGCTACCGCTGCTTTGAGGGGGAGAAAGGAGTGGTAAAAGTTAAGGAGGCCTAAGAAGGCCTGCAGTTCGGTCTTTGAAGTGGGGGCGGGAGCGTTTGATATCGCCTTCGTCTTCTCCGCCGTCGGGTGGATGCCCTGTGCGTCAACCGCGAAGCCCAGAAACTCCACCTTGTGCACGCCCAGCAAGCATTTTTCGCGCTTCACCCTCAGCCCCGCCTGGTCGAAGCGTTGAAGAACAGCACGGAGTCGGGTGGCAAACGACGCGGCGTCGGGGGCGGCGATCAAGACGTCATCTAAAAAGGGCTGTACCCCGGGGATACCTTTGAGGAGAGAGTCCATAAAAGATTGAAAAATCCCCGGGGCCACTGAGACCCCGAACTGGAGCCGGTGGACCCTGAAAGCCCCCTTGTGCGTGGCAATCGTCTGGGCTTC